AACTGCTCAGCAGGGCCTGGGCAGCTCCAGGGGCTCAGAACTGCCCAGCCCAGCAGGGAAAGGTTGGGCAGGGAAAACTCAGCTGTTCTGTGCCACTGGCTGAATGTTAGAACGTTAACATCGAATCTTGTCAGTATTTCTAATTTTTAACATAGAATCTTGTCAGTATTTCTAATTAAACGCCTGTTCATTATTACAACTGTTACATTAAAATAGATCCCCAGGTTGTGACAGCTGAAACAGAGATTCAGAATCCAAATTTCCTCTTTTTTTTTTACAGAAACAGATCCAAGCTTTCCAATTGTGCCTTGTGCCACCAAAGCAGGAAACCTCATCCTGTTATCCCCCCAAACCCCAAATGTCCATTGCAAACCAAATCCATAAAAATTCCCTGCAGTAAGAAAGGTTCTTCCAGAACTTTGAATCCCAGCTTCCAACTCTACCTCAAAAATGATTTTAACTGCTTATTCTCTTTGTGTTAGAATAAGGTTGGCATTTTGGGCAAGGAGAATTCTGCCTCTGAAAATCAGATTGTTAACTTTGGTAGGAAAAAAATCATCTAAAGGATTTACTATTCTTGAACTGCTTTCTTCCCTGTCTAAACCTTTACTGAAAAAGAAAACACTTGATCTAAGGTCTATTTAGTTAATTTAAGATATTTTTGAACTCTGCACTAAAGCTTAAATGCTTAATGCTAAAAACATTTGCCTTATTTTCCCTTCACTCTGACCCCAAGTGCGGAGCAGGAGAATAAAAACAACAGTCAGGGATTGCTAAGAAAATAAAACCCAATTGTAAAACCACATGTAAGGCATTAAAGCATCTAAATGACATCTGAGCATTTACTCAACCAAGCCTGAATTGTTTCAGAGCCTCCCAAAGCTGCTCAGTGCCAACTGTGGCAGCTCCTGCCCAAAGAAGTTTCTTTTCTGTTTTAAAATACATTTCATGGAGACTCTTTAGAGGTAAAAGTTACCAACAGCACCAAGGTTAGTGAGAGAAAACCCCAAGGAACGCTGGAAAAGGATTTCTCCACTACTAAAAACCATTTTTTTAAAAAAATGTGATTTTACTAGGAAAAAAAAAGGAACTAACTTGGAGCTCTCCTTCCCACCAACCACCTGGATTCTTCTTTCTGATGAGGATCAGCTGGCCAGGAGCAAGAGTCAGCTGTTCTGGGCCTGTGGCTGTGTAAGAGGCAATAACTTGGGCAATTTCTGTTGAAGCAGAGGAGGAAAGAAAAGGTTAATTTGAAAAAAATCCAAGCAACATTTTATCCAACATTAACTCTGCTGCTACAAGCCTGTGTTATTCCTTTCCACAAAACTGTTATGGATTGATGCATTTCCATGAATACGTGTGGGAACTGGAAAATCAATGAGAGGTTCAGAGAATAAAGAAGTAATAAACCAGAGGTGCAGCAGCTCTGTGGTGGGAGATCAATAATGTTTGAAATAGAGAATAATAATAATACTAATAATGCTAATGATATTGATAATAATGATAATAATGATGATAATGATTATGTTGGTGATGATGATAATAATAATACAGCATAATAATAATAATAATAATAATAATAATAATAATAATAATAATAATAATAATAATAATAATAATAATAATAATAATAATAATAATAATACAGCTCTCAAAATGCAATGTTTTCCAGTAAATCCATCTTTGCATTTGGCTCCCTAAGGAGAGGAGACTCACCAATGACAAAACAATGAAGTTGCACCCAGAGGTGCAAACCAAGGCTGGCAGACAGTTTCCCACCACCTGGCCCCAAAAGGAATGTTTTTCCCAAGCAGCAAAGAGGATTTCCCTGGAAATCTCTGCTCCCTGCCAGCCCAGGAGTGGGAGCTGCCACCTCCAGGAGCTGTGCTGGGGTTCCCTCTGCCCCCAGTGCTTGGGGAACAGTTCAGGTCCCACAGGGAACCCAGCTCTGGACCCCAGGCCCAGCCCCAGCCCTCAGGGATTCATCGCCAGGAACCCACAAACCCTTCAGGAGGCTTTGGGGCAGGGCAGATACCAAGGGAGGTGAAGCCCAGCAGGGAAATGATCAATGATTGATGTGAGATTTAGAAGGAAAGGATCAGTAGGAACATGAAAAATGATCAGAGAGGAATCTGAGAGACAAGGGAGCAGCATGAGGAGGATGAGGAGCAATCCAAGGGCTGCAGAGAACACAGAACAGCAGAACCCCCCCCAGCAGGGCAGGGCCAGGGGAGCCAGGCAGGGATGGAAGCCTGGAGTGACAAAGGGGCTTTAAACTGGGTCTGGGGTCAGCACACACAGCCATGGAATGGAGCCATGGAATGGTTTGGGTTGGAGGGACCCCAAATCCCACCCAGTGCCACCCCTGCCATGGCAGGGACACCTCCCACTGTCCCCAGTGCCCAGCCTGGCCTTGGGCACTGCCAGGGATGCAGGGGCAGCCCCAGCTGCTCTGGGCACCCTGTGCCAGGGCCTGCCCACCCTGCCAGGGAACAATTCCTCATTGCCCAGATCCCACCCAGCCCTGCCCTTCCCAGCCCAGCTCCTCCCTGGTTTGCCCTCACCCAGCACTGATTCTGCTCCTGGCTTTTCTCTGTTTAAACCTCCCCCTCCCCTGCCACACCTGCTGTATTTAATGAGAAATTCCCCCTCCTGTCTGCTGCTTCCACAGCCAAGGAACCTGCAGAGGGGCTGGGGACAGGGGAATGGCTCCCTCTGCTCTCTGGGCAATCCAGCAGGAAGCTCACATCCACCTCTGAGCAAGCAGGGTTTCATTCTCTAGCTAGATGTTATTTAGTGATTGACACACTAGAATGATTAGAGGATGAATTCTTTTATTACATTTACATTATTTATTAACTGCATTTATTCCAGTTATTTGATAATGGTTTTCATCAGTGCAAACCACTCCAAGATGATCAAGAGCAAACACTATTTTCATGGAAAAGGTTTTGTTGCCATTGAATTGAACGCTTAAGAACAGAGAGAAGGTGCTGCCACAATATTTGACTCACCAGGTTTCTTCCCTAAGCTTCCTGTTTTCCCAGCTGCTCCTGGAGCCTTGAAATGGAGAACAAGAGGCAAGTTTAGCACTCAGGGTTCTTCCTCCAGTACATGGAAATGATTTACAAAGCTTCACCCAACAAGCACGTGAATCAAAAACTCACAGGAAATTCTGTTCTTACAGAAACCCTAATATTTTAGATGGCAATAAACATCTGGGAATAAATACCAAGCGTGAAATGGATGGTTTGTTAATGCAGAAGTGCAGACTTTTAGTCCCTTTTGTGGGCTGCAAATACCAAAGTATATCCCATGTGCAATCCCAAAGAGATCCCATTTGGAATTCCAGAGTAGACTCCATCTGTAATCCCAAAGGAAATCCCATCTGTAATTCCACAGTAGATCCCATGTGCAATCCCAAAGCAGATCCCATTTGTAATTCCAGAGTAGACTCCATTTGTAATCCCAAAGCAGATCCCATTTGTGATTGCAGATCCATGAATCTACAGAATGGGAATTCTGTGGAGCTGAGCTGAAACAACACAAGTTTCCATTCCTCCAAATTGCTGGGTTGCAAATATTCCTGAGCAGCTCCCTGCAGCCAGGCAGGGTGAGGTGAGGGATGAAATCTGCACCCAAGGGATTGGGAAGCAAAGCCTTTGAAGAGCCACAAAAATCCAGCAGAACCTGACATCAGTCCAGCTCCTGGCCCTAAATAATTCCTGCAGTTTCCTCCCAGGCCATGACGTTTTCTGTCCTGCAGAAACTTCAATCTAAACTGGACTGTGGGACTGTGGCCAGGAATGCTGGGGAGCCATAAAGGTCCTCTGGCCTTCAACACTTCCACCTCCCTCAACTTCTCCCTCAGGATCCTCCTCACAAACCTGGAGCCAACATCAAACCCCTTGAAGGCCTCCACAGAATCCTCATTCCTGTCTGGAAAGAACAGTTTCCTCCTCCACATTCTCCCTGCCAACTGAGGTTTGAAAACCTGGGGATTCTGGCAGGAATAAAACTGAGGAGTAACTGAAGAACAGCTCAGGGTGAGAGAAAAGAGCCCCTCAGCCCCTGTGCTGGCTGTGGGGCGCCCATAAAATGGATCCTCAGCTGGCCTGGGTGTCTCAGAGCTCCCTTCCTGTCACACACCATGGCAGTTACAATGCAGCAGATCCTCCTCTCCTCCCCTCCCTCGCTCCCTGGATGGTCCCCAGCCCCTCCCTGCCCTGTGAGCAGGGCCAGAGAGCCCCAGGGGATCGGGGCAGGAACTGTGCTGTCCCCCCAGCACCAGGCCCTGTCCCCAGAGCAGGCACAGGGCCAGGGACAGCTCAACACCCCCCAGTGGGGCTGGGGCTGCTGAGGGACCTGGGGATGGGGGGACATGGCCCTGGCAGCCCCACACAGGGGATGGACCAGGGGGATCCCAGCAACTCCTCCTGCCCTGGGAAGGGTTTCTGCCAGAGGAAC